TACAAACTTAATCACTATCTGCAACCATGTGGCCTTCACAGGCCATCTTGCATATTCATAAAGTACAGCGCCCCCAATAGACCCACTTCTATTGATTCAATTAAAATGGCGCTCACACTGTACATTGATGATACCAAGGTAAGTTGATCGCCTGATTTAGAAAAAAATTTATCAGGCAGTCCTATCTTTAACATTGGAGCCAAAATTTCAAGGGCCAATAAAATGGACAAAAATGATTCAATCAAAAATCCGAGAAAAATGTCTGGAGATATGGTCCAGTAGTATGTTTTTGCAAATTTACACGAAAATTCATCAGGCCAAAAAAAAAATAAAAAATGTTCCGGACGACGGACGCCACACACGGATGCCAACAATAGCTTAACGGCCCATAGGGCCGGTAAGCTAAAAACGAGAACACAAGCAGCATCGGTCACATGCTAATAATTCCAAGCCTTTTAAAAATGCGGTTACAGGATGATCAATGAATACTTCGGGCAAGAATATAGAGCCGTTGCTTTGGTGAAATGTGCCAGCGTAGCATCTAGCCACGCACAGGAAAAGGCATTCAACTGTTTCCTCTTCACCTCCCCATAGCTGTTGGACAGCCAGATATGACTGACTAACTGCACATAAAATGAGGACTCCTGTGTTATCCCAAGTGGTATGCTACATGCAAGACTTCTGTTTGCCCTCAGGATGAGGAAACCGTGGTCCATAGATGATCGGACAAGCTGATCTTTCACCGAAACAGAAATCTGTGCCATTTGTTCTTCACTGTAATCCATAATTTTTTTTCTTTTCTTTATTAGTGGGGAGAACGCAGCTTTGTAAAAATGTGATAGCTTTACTAGGATTTGCCATCTTGACAAGCCCTTTCACTATGTCCCAATTCATTTTGCCCACCTGGTTTTCAAAACATGACATCCTCAAACATTTACCTTTCAGTCAGTCAGGTTCTTCAAACAAGCAGGAAGCTAGTCTTGTTTCATCAGAACTTCTGCTCGTCGGAATTCCTGAAATTCTTGGCATGTAGGAAACTTGCTCTCTTGGGGCAGGGGAGGGGGGGGCCCAAGGGCTAAATTAAAATACCCATAATCCTCCAGAAACATCTGACCCGTAAAACAGACTGGCTCCTTCGACTGTACTGTAATAGTCCCCGTCGGGGGCCATAAAGAGGGGATTAGCTCAGAGACACTGCTCAGACTTTCAGCTGGTGTGTGTTATCCAGGGACCGCGGGCCCATGAAACAATAGACTAAATTAAAAAAGCCAATTAATGACAGAGGCGCGGATGGGGTTTAACACCAAGCGACAAGCCGGACTGGCGCTATGGGAGACTGGGGAGGGGATGAGATATACGACGGGCGGCTTGACTACATGGTATCACTAGCTAACAAAGACATACCAGAGAGACGCTGTTCTTTAAAATCAGCAAATCGCTGACATAGCAATGATAACTCCACCCATTTAAGGGTTCCTGAAGCCTAACCCCGCCACCAATACTGTGCACTTCCTAAAAAAATGTAGCATCTTCAACAGCCCCAATTGGCAATAAGAACTGGGCAGTTCCTCTAATTTGTGTGTGAGGTCAAAACAACACGATGGGATGATCTAACAATAACTGTAGTGGAGTCTGTGAACACTGATGAAGAGTGTGGAAAAAAAATTTTTTAAATTTACTCCCCAGAGGATTAATGAGTTCCCAGTAGAGTCGCAGTCATTTCCTGCAGCGGACAAGAATGGAACGAAAAGCCTGAAAGCTACCGGTTTTGCACACACGTACCTCGTGGGTATGGAACTGGTCTTTGACCTCTTCTACATCCTCGGAAACCTCGTCCTGCATCTGCAGGGTGTCCTCAGCCGACAGCAGCCAGGTCAGCACCTCCTCCAGCGTTGTCTGGTAAGTGTCCAGGTCGACCTCCATCTCCGTCACTGTGCTGGGGGTCTCCGGACGAGAGCCGCCACATTCCTCCACAGAGGTCGTGACCTTTGGAGCGAAGACGGGTTCACACTGTCAGCATTCAAAGAAAAACGCTGGCCACACCACCCCTCCCCGACAATCAAATAACGAATAAACTGATTACTGGCAGAAAGGCATTGATACAGAACAAAGCAACACCCCCCCACAAATGAGTAAACAAAAAGCTTATTCTTGAGAAAGGCCTTGCTAAACAGGCTGCAACCCCAACACTTCAGTATCCGATTACAGATTACTGACAGATTGGTATCAATGTGGAAACATCCACAAAAGGCAAAGTATCCTGATTACGGGCAGAGAGCGATTACACAGGTCATTCATATCAAATTCCATAACAATGCTGAATTCCTAATCTCATTCTGCCCAAATGCTCAATGGCACAAGATGATGTTAATTGAGCCGTTCATTTACTCGACTGCCAAATTATACCATAGCATTGTTGGAACCAACTCTGAGAAGCCTAAGGCAAATTTCCAATTCCATGGACAATAAAATATATACTCTATGCATAACTGCAGTAACAAAACGTAGGCATCCAAGAAGCTCTTTACTGAGAGAAGCACGGCACCTGCCAAGACAAAAATTGATGGCCGCACTAAACATGGTACCCCTTTAAAGGTCCCCTATTATGCCACCAGGTGCACAGCTATTTAGTCATCACGAGCCAGTTCAAAATCTCCCCTTCCTGACATCACAAGAAGGAGTGACCGCCCAGAAGAATGAAATCTGGTTGACTACTTGGCTGAAGTTGATCAGCTTTTCTTGCCTCCGGTTGGTTTCTTCCCCATGTGATGTCCAGAGGGGAAAAGATTTTTAAATGGGTTGTAACAACTGGCTGTGCACCTGGTGACATAATAGGGGACCTTTAACAAGAGATTTCAAAACTCAGGCCCAGTTCAGGATTTTATTAAATGGCCTGATCAGAATGCAGCAGAAGATTGAATCTTTCACAAAACAATCTGATTAAACAGTCAAGATTAAATACTTCAGAAGACGGTTTTCTTTCACAAAAGAACAACATAGTTAAAGGGGCATTTCATATTATATTTCCAAGTATTTCACTGTTTCCATGGAGTGAACCTGCATCAAAATTGATTGATGATGTAAAAAAGACTTATCACAGCTTATTTCCGCCAAAGACGGAGACTTAAATTGTCAGATGACTTGACAGTTCTCTGCTAAGCATTGGCATAGATGAAAAAGACAGAGTGGATTCATACATCTTTTACTGCATATGTCCTGACGACTACCAGCCATATAAAATGGGTTGGGATTCTTATTTATGGGTCCTTTAGACCGTCAGATAGAAAACAAGCAAATTCAATTTTCAAATTTTTTTCACGGAGAGTGCCTATAATTGAATCAGAAAAGTATTTTGTTTGACAATCATTCAAAATAAAAAAAATTCAATGCAAGTAGCATAGGATTATGGAAACAATCAAACATCTGCGGACATCAGATTAAGTCAGTGCTTCCGATCCGCGGAGGCCTGAGAAAGTAAAGCAAAGAGAGAGAGCAGAGCTGTTATCTTTATTAGCCACTCGTGATTAGAGGGTGGGTCAGCGTTCCTGTCCAAGAATAGCTCAGTGTTGAGGCGGAACATGGACTGCTCAAACATGGCACACAGGAACCACAGCCACAGGACCTACTCAGGGCACCGCGCCCTCTGGCTCCGCTCATGTTCACTAGTGAGCGATGACAGTGACAGACAAGGTCTGTGCCCAGTTACGTGACCAGGGCAGACCAATGCCACTGCACATCGTGGGACTTGACATTCCTCACCTCTTGCATGCAACTCTCCAAGTTGCAGTTCTCATGGTCACCACTAGGGGCAGGACCCCCACCCTTCAAACACCTTCCAGCTTTCAAACAGACTCCTTCAGATGATGAATGAGCTTCATCTCTTGCTCATTCTAAAGCCAGAGGGTACTTTGGGTACAGATTTAGTCCCCTCAGAAAATTTGAGGGTGCTAATCTGTACCCTTAAAAAAAAAAAATCAAGAAAAACTTTTTTCCTTCCGTGATCAAAACTGTCATTAGAAAGTCATCATTTTGTGAGTTTTGAACAACTCTTGAGTTCTTCTGAGCTTTCCAAGTTGGCTGCCAACTAAAGTTTGCATCAAATTCCACTGCATAAGTTGTGTCAATATGGACGCCATCTTGAATAGCAGAGCAAAACTGTTCGTAGATGCTCCCGGTTTTCCTCGCAAGACCGAGCGTAGTTTCATTGTTCAAGTTGCAACCACTCGCGGGTTCTCGCTTGACCCCGCGATATTGAACATGCCCCATCTTATATAAAGAATCACTGATTTATGGTGGCTGACAGGGGTAAAAGCACCGCAACGAGCCCAAAACATCTCCAATTGGAAATACGCAATGGAACGGCCAAAAACACCTCCAACTGGAGAAACGTGCTGCAAAAACAGAAATGCTGCATATCCACGTCAGCACAACTGAAGTGCTCCAAACTTTTTAGCTATCAAGCGAGCTAACATAAGTTTGCTTGCTTAGCGAGGTAGTTCGCCAACAGTCATATTTGGTGCTTTTAATGCAAGAGAACATAAGTGAATAGCCATTATTTCGCTGACTAACTTTGCTAGAATTGAACCACGGGCATTAAGCTTGCTAGCTGGCATTAATAGACATCAAAAATAAAGTTTGCCAGCTAACATTGACTAAGGAAACCAACAAACAAGCTCACACACTAGGCTAGCAAGCTAGTTCGCCTGCTCAGCGAGCTAATTCCGGTATAAACCAATAAAACAGTGAATCGTGACAATTTCGCTAGTTAACCAGTGTCGGATTAGCAAGTAGTCATGACTAACTAAGTTAGTTAAACATTAGCAAGGCTAGTTAGCTCGTTCGCTAGCTATGGAGTTTTTGCGGTAACTAACGTTGGCTAAAGATACTTGGCTATTAATGTAACTCATTGCAAAACATTGATATCTAGCAAGCTAGGTAAGCCAAACTAAGCAGGCTAGAGCTCAGAGTAGCAGAGTAGCAAACTATGCACCAAATGTAACTGCACAGTGGCGCAGTGGTTAGCACTACTCACAGCAAGAAGGTTGTGGGTTCGAATCCGGCCTCTGTGTGGAGTTTGCGTGTTCTCCTGTGTTCGTGCAGGTTTCCTCCGGGTTCTCCGGTTTCCCCCACCCACAAAACATGCATTACATGAACACTCCTACTACTACCATTGACAAAGTTACTGGCCTTAGAACTGGAGTCGGTCCCCGGGCGTTGCTCTGTGGCTGCCCACTGCTCCTAACAATAGGATGGGTCAAATGCAGAGGACAAATTAAACCACGGGGTTCAATAAAGTATATCTCTATCTCTCCATCTCTATCTCTGTTAGCTAGCTAGGCTAGCGAACTCGCTAGCTAGCTAGAGAGCCTTTTTTTCCGACTTTGCTAGTTACATTTTGAGCAGGTGAATGCTCGCTAGCTAACTACAACCTAAATGGTGAAGTTATAATTAGGGACCTGGATGAAATCGCAAACCAGTTCATTAAGCACACGGTTACTTTGAGCAACACTTTCCGGATCAAGAGGTAATATCAACGGTGAATGAACAAAAAAGTTTTTTAACACATAGTAGCTGTGTGGGCCTATATATTGATTATCAATCAAATGTATTTGATTGCATGTGCTGTTATGTAGCGCAACGATGTTCGATAGCCTATCACATGGTAATTTGTTTGATATGTTAATATGTTGGCCTATTAACCATTACAGTTACGCAGTGTTTTGATGGGTGTACTGTAGTACTATGATCATGAGGTGGTGTCGGATTTGTTTCGGATCGAGGATTTGCTCTATGATTTATGCTCATGTGAGTCTTTTTACTAATGCAATTTTTGTGGCTATGGTTATTGCTTTGTTGGTGTGTTGTTGTGGAACTTTTGATTGATAATCATATCTGTCTCATCAAAGCTTGGTAGCACTGGTGATCGTTGACAGCAGAATATCATGGTGTGATTAATGAACGAATGAAGCAGGTAAGGTGCTGCAAAGTACGTCATGGTTCAATGACTTCCAGCACCACCGAAAGCTCTGCGTTCGCATATGGTCCCCGGCTTGGCATATAGTATATCCAGTTTCCTTGTCGGATTGTGGATTTGGTCAACGCTCTTTATTCAGATGGGCCTCTCTAATTGATTGGGTGGTATCTGTGTGATGTGTATCATCGGTGCATTTGTGTGTGTGCATGCGTGTGCGCGCGCAGAGTTCATGTCGGTCATAACCAGTAATGTTCTAGCTACGTTGCAAAAACAGTTGTGTTTTACTGCTTATTTATTTATTTATGAATTATTATTCATATTAATTAATTTTTTATAGCAGCAAGTCATTTTAGGTTTTGAGCACCCACCAGCATAAACAAAAATTGAAGCCTATTCCCCCAGACCCCCGCCAGGGGGGCGCTGCCGAGATGGTCGTACCCTAAAAAAAAAATCCTGGTGGAAACCCTGAAAGCTGTTCGTTCTTTTTCACAGCCATACAAAGCAACATTTTATAATTATACTGAACTCAAACAATGATTGCACAGAATATACTGCATCTCCTAATAATAATACACTAATTCATTATTCCTCCTCCATGTCTGAGCTATACGGACATTTTATTTGAGCAGAGGACTGCATGAGGGCATCATAAAGATTAAAATTGCCCTTTCAGGGGAAAATATTTTTTTTAATGTGCTCAAGAATGAGAATTGTTCTCAAAAAGTTAAAAACTGCTTAAATGGCCAGTTATTCAAGCTTAGGGTGAGATTTTAATGAAGTTTATGATTTTTTTAATAACAGCAAAGATTAGAAGATTTTAGGGAATAGAATGTCCAATTAAACTCAGTTATGAACCAGTGAGTACATCCCCCATTAGCTTAAGGTAAATCTAAATGCTTCTGCAATATCTTGATAAAATTTCATTCGAGACAAATTAAAAAATAAAAAAACATAAAATTTCCAAGCCTTGGGCAAGCTGTAAAAAATATGACAGACTTGCAAAATGGACCATTTAACGGGTGACACAATGCACCATTGTTTCCGCCCAAATTACCCAGAATGCTCCAATTCATGAGGAAAAGGTCACTTGTTGAAAATCTTCCATGGCATTTACAAAGGAAACCCACACAGAAGTCATTGCTAATTCTGGCCTTTATCTGAATGCAAGAAAACATGCTTCAGTCCGCAGCCATAGATTTAGACCACACAAATAGCAGCATTTGCAGTACTACACATAAATATTCCTCTTAAAGGCCACTAGTATTGTAAGAATCATAATCCCAGTGTGGTTGACCAAAAGGACGCACAGCACCATAAACCAGTGCTCAGACAGTCTAGGTTATGCAAAAGATTTCCAAATGTAGGACATTACTGAAACCTAACTTGTGTAAAGTTCTCTGAATGAGTTTGGCACTGATCACTGAGGTCAGCATTGATTATTCAGCCTTGAATAAATAAACTTTCGACCAAAGTCCTCCCACAGAACTGTATCCCGCCTCACAAGCAGAAACATTCCTCACTTCCTGAGTCAGGACTACTGCTGGCTCTTACCAACTGCTTTTTTTTCACAGCCTCCCTTCCAACCTTTTCTTGCTCCACACAAAAAAAAAAAAGATGAAAAAATTAAGAAAAGGAAGTGAGGACGGGGGGTTGAACGAAGAAATGTCCATTAGCGCAGAACAACCATTTATGTCACGTATTCAGGAAAATACTCTTCCGCAAAGGATGTTGTCGTCTGTCCTAGCTCAAGATATAGTTGGCAAACATATTACTACCTTTTTCCTAACTCATTTAACAGACTGGATCTCAGACCTCCGTCAATTTCCGGCTTAGGTGCAAGGAAGAAAAAGCAGTGAAAATACATGTCTGGACAAAGGCCGAAGTCTCATCTGACCACACCAGCGCCGTGAGCGATTTTCCGTAGGCCTTTCCAAGCGTGGGAAGCCAATTCTCACCCTGTGGCAAAATTGAAGGCAGCAGTTTCACTTGAAATATTTTTATATAATCACAGCTTATAAAAATGTCTGTGAATGAAAAACAGTAGTTTTCTGTTGAATAGAAACAGTGCCCCAGGTCATATGCGGTATTTACTAAACTACAAAGCGTGGCAGGACTTGAGCATAGTCCTTTAACAAAAACACAGGTCGGCCTTCAGGGAAATTTCAAAAGGAAGGGCAGGTCCTCATATTAAAGAGGATGTTAAGTGAGAGACAGTAACTTCCTTATTTTTCCTCATTAGAGGGCAGAAAACGAGCGCAGTGGTTCCTGCCTCAGAGCAAACAGGTGCTCAGTGAAAGGAGGTATACCCAAGGGAATACCCATTATAAACCATCTCTTTCTGGCAATATTCCAACAACATAAAGACTCACGCTTAATTCCACAGCCCGCTCCTTTCTGTGAACTTGTTATGAAATGAGCACACGTGACCTTTAAAGCCGGTCCCAGTGCAAGTACGGGGAGAGGAAAATCCTTTTTCAGCTTTCAGGGGCTCTAATGCCTGAAAATCGTGCTAATTATATGACTCAGGCAGTTCCCCTTTAGTCTAAGTGCAACACTCGGACGCAAAGTAATTTTCGCAACTTGACGTGGCTTTCGCTGGCCCTGCCAACCTTGGATGGTATGTATACTGATCGACGCCCGGAGGCTCGGGAGGGTGGTAACCCGCTGAAGAATGCAGTTACGCCACGAGGCTCCGTCTCGTCCTCAAATAACTCCCCAGTTCTGCACAAACCTCTAAGCACAGCTGGCTTTCTTTACCTCAAGGAATGAACTCACGGATCGTTTTCACTCGACATCTTTCACTCAATTTCACTTCCAAAAATGGTGAACAAGAATGTACAGCATTTGTTACCTGAACTTCACAGAAATACCCAGAAAATTAATAATGCCACAAGCCAAATTCCAGGAGTGACAAATATAGTCCTATTGGAGCTACTTCTGACTTGCGTCTATTACTGAAGTGAAGTTCATGTTCGAGGGGACGACTGCTCTTTGTTATCAGACAAAACTAGACGCAGGCAGATGCAGACATATTTGTTCATGACTGTGGGTCTGTCACTGTACTGCCACTCGATGTACTTTCAGGGGGACATATGAAAAACTCACTTTTTCCATCACTTGTGCTCATAAATTTCAGTATCAGGAGCGCCTACCAACCCACAAACTGTGAAATAAAACAACCCAATCCTTTTTTTATGAGCTTCCTTTTTCATAAGACATGGCATTCGACATGCTATCCTGATTTGGCTCCCCTTCCTGTCACATGCAGGCTCGTGAGAACTGCTCTGTTCCACATCTGAATATCCCCATCCAAGGCTAATTTCTATGTGAACATCCCAGCTTCAGTCATAAAATACTTTTAAGTGTGTGCTATCCACTTTCCTTCTGACTGTGCTGTACTGCCAACTAACTGGGTCAGTATAACGCAGAACTGGCAACAAAATTTATATGAAAGGGGACCCATAATGCTTTTTGGAAGATACAAAGCAGTGGTGGGCTCGATCTATTATCAAGGAGAATGTGTAGTTAGCTAGCTAGGTAAGTGTTTCCAATTTCTGTTAATATTGAAACTGAATTCCAAGTATTCCTTGCTAGCTATAAAATTGATTGAATTTAGCTAGAAACCATCACTGGTTTAGCCAGCGACAATGTAGGAGACATATTGATAGGAACAGATAAAACAGGTGAATGTCCCCAATGGAAGTCAGTACATTTTCATAAAGTAGTGCAGCTTTTCTAAATAAATGAAATGTTTGCCACCGGCGGCTCCTGCACTGATGCTAACTGCAGTTCACTCCTAATGAACAGAATTCCAACTGTAGTTAAACTTTTATGGTGACTGCATGTTGCATTTCTTTATGAATGTAATGGTCATCCATGCCAAACCTGCAAATATTACCTTTCCCTACGCATTGTGTAGCTAGCTACTTATTCAGTCATCTGCATTTAGACACTTGTCAGTAGCCCAGGGATTTTACATCGTCGATCTCCATTGATATGGTGCTCCGTTTGCTGGCCAATCAGAACAGAGCTCATTTCTCAGTGGGAAAACCACAGAGAACAGCATGTTTTTCAGAGGGTTAGGAATGGCAGGAA